GGAAGGTTAATGCTTGTCTAAGAAATTTCTTAAGTACTTTCTAAAGGCTCCAAAAGAGGGGTTGGAGCCCTGGCTTCAATGCCTAGCACTCAGCTAAATAAAGGCTCAGAAAATATTTCTTCTTATTCTACATGTATCCCATTTTTGTAAGCCTGGCACATATCTTTAATGCCCTGTAAGACTGCAATAATTCAGACAAGATGCTCTTGAGAGAACATCTGCTCAGGACCGGGCATCTCCACCAATGAGCTAATGCAAATTTTTGCCTAAGGTCTCCAAGACCAGTGAACTCTGTATCCAAGTAACTTTCTCCTTTTTTGATTTTAAAATATTTCTCTTGCTAGGACATCCTGGAATATGCCCATAGTTTACTATGGCATGCATATTCCCATTGTGATGCTCTGCTACTCCTAAATAAATACCACTGTTCTTTGAACACTCTCCCTCTTGTTGATATTTAGGTTGAAACATGGAAGCATTATTTCTATACGCAAACAATTGAAAACAAATTAAATATTTAAGATGAATAAACTAAACTATGGTATATCAATAAAAAGTATACCACCAGCCATTAAAAATAATAAACTGGCATATATAAAATTCAGTTGTGGGGTGTGGGTGGCTGGGGCACAGCTCAATGGTAGAGCACTTGCTTAGCATATGCAAGGCCGTTGGAGGAATTCCCACCATAAGAAGAACAAAATAAAACAAAATAGTTGTCTCTTAGTATCCCTGGGAATCTGGTTCCAGAACCCTCTGGGATGCCAAAATCCAGATACTCAAATCCTGTTTATGAATAATGACCACCAAGAACAGCCTGTATTTGCTCAATACAGATGCAACTATCACAACTATCTACATATCACATGATCAGAGGTTGGTTGAATGCAGATACAGAACCCATGGATATGGAAGGCCAACTGTATATATATTACTTATACATATTGAGGAAGAAAAGAGCAAGTGTCAGTCAGATATACTTATACTATATGTTATATATAATTTTCAAAATACACTTACTCATTTCACTACCTCATTAAAAATAGCAACCATGCATTCATAAGGCTGGAAACTAAGTGCCACCTCCCACCTATTCCTCACACACCCATTCTAAGCTGCAGTGACAGCAGTGCCTCCACATCTTCTGAATGAATATGATTGGTACTTTCAAATCCTACACTACTCTAGGTATGATCCTCTGCCCAATTTCAAGGCCCATGCCCTATAGCAGCTCTTGAGAAAAGACCTCCTTCTCTCAATTCCAAATCGCAGTGAAAAGATACCTATCTTCTCTATGCTCCCAATAAGGCCTGCACTTGGCTACTGCATTATTACTGAGGGCAGGGTCATCGCGCATGCCTGCCTTGGGACCCAGGTCCCCAATGCTAAATGCACATCAACGGAAAACAGGGACAAGAAGCTGCACTCTGGGACTCGAAATAACGCCTTGATTTGTCCTATAATTATCTAGACTGGCAATGAACTCACTCGCCTTAACTCCCGCATGCCCCGTCACCCTGAATTCTCAAACCACAGTGATCAAGGACCACTGTGGCCAAAGGGGGAAGCTGCAGAATTTCCGCAGATCCTAAATCAGGGTCCAAGAAGTCGGGCCCGGATTTCTGCGGGGCTCTAAGACCCGTGGTGCTCCTTTAGAACGAATCCCATCTTCCTCCTTGGAAACAGATACACTTGCAACCAACTCGCAACAGATCCTGAAGAAAACGCCCCTTAGGAGAATTTTATATACGTGTGTGTGTGTGTGTGTGT